GGGGGGGTGAAAGTAACGCAAATGGATAAACTTTCAGACTATACCAATAACAGTAAATGCCCAAAAATTGACGAGCGCCTGATTCTACTGCGTCGTGACACATATTGTTCGTAGCAATGAAAAAACTCAACAGAAGAAGAGACATCATGACTGGAATTGTCGAGAACTTTAGTGGTTAAAAGGCGAACGGATGATATTCTTCCAGGTGTAGTTGTGGCTGGTTTCAAAAATACATCTTTCTAACAAATATGGGTATTTTCACGCCCCCCTCCCCTAATCGGCACAATTTAGATCATAATTTATGAGGCGGGCTTCTGCCCCTGCTTGGTAGAGCCTGCCTGCGCTGAAAAGGATATAACATCCTGGCAGTTAGACCGAGACACTTGATAAGATTGTTCTCACCACTCCGGAATCGAATTCAAGTCTCCTGCATTCGACAGCGAAGAGCTTATGATATCAGGATCCTAGAATATGCTTTTTCTGATGTTTTCCTACCATGCCTTACAATAACCATATGTATGTACCCTATAGGCGAAGAAAAATGTGTGAATGTCGAAAAAAATTGTGAATATACAAATGAGGCTTCCAATATGGCCGCCGAAGGTAAAAATCGGACACGTCACTTGGAAGACTGTATCTCATTAACTTTTGAGAATGTTTGCTTGAAACTTTCAGGAAATGTTCTTGAATACCCAATGCATGTTCCAAATAGTTATTGGGACAAAATTTGAGTTCATATAGATGTTGAATGAGCAAATAATAAAAAACATTTTTAAGCAGACTAGTTATGTATGCAAGAATCAAATTTAAACTACAGTTTTCAAGATGGAGCCGTTTTTTTAGGTTTAAGACATGCATCACTATCTTGGGAATATGTGTTCAAAATTTTGGATGGATATCTTGGACAACAGTGATTTGATGGATTGTAACAACTAGTATGTGAACCTAAAATATTGTTTAGAGAAAATGGACAAAAAACTACAAGGAATTGTAAAAGGACATTGAAACTCTATGTTTAGACAAAAGCCAAACTTTGAGGTAGGATTGAGTCCGTAAGAAACAGTAAACTCAGCACAGTCAGTTTGGAAGAGTTCTAGTTTTATTATATATTCGCTTTTTGCGTTTCAAATTGCCATTTTGGGGGGAAAAGATAGAGTAGCAACCTTTATAAACAGATTATTACCAAGGGCGATTTGGGATTGACATGGGTATGCAAAAACCTCGAATTACTAAAAAAAAAAAAAAAAAGGAGACAGTGTATTACTTTTATTTCACTTGGGTCTGGTTCATAAATGGTCTATGTACACATAGAGGCCAAAAAAAAATACAGTAAAATCTTGATGTTTCATGATATCAAAACATCCTGATACCTTAACCGCTACTCCACAGTGGTTGGTGTTGACTTCAAAGTTTATTAAAAGTGTTAAGCTAGCTCTGAAATCTTTAAAATTTTGTCCAAAATGTGTACAATCCTAACGTTTCCTTGACTGATTAGGTTCTGTTTTTCTCTCCATATTTCCTGTAGATTTCTTGAAAAGTCACGTAGAGATCTTTGTGACCAAAATAACACGCTGTGTACTAACAATGGGGCCCGACGTGATATCTGGTTATATCCTTTTGGTGGCAGCAATCTTATCGTCTTGCGACGCACTTGTTCTTCATGGCACAACGGCCGAAGTGGAAATATGGAAAACGAAGAATGTATCTTTAGAATGTATGGACAACGATCAACAGCCGGACATTAATTCTGAAGTTATCATGATGCGAATCCTGAAAAAAGACCACGATGGATGGAGTTGTTTTGCAGAACTTCGCGATGGTGAGGCAGAAGTAACGCCAAAACGTAAGGATGTACTCGCTGAGGCCAACAAGACTTCCATCTCTGACAGCTTTCTGCGGCTTACGTGGCCTGTGGCGACTGACGATACAACTGGCGAGTACAGATGTGACTTCGTGGTCTTGACGTCACAGGAAAATTTCATCTTTAAAAAAAGCCAACCCACGCTCATCTCCCGAAAGAGTAACCTCACGGTGCAGATCCTTAACAAAATAATGGAGGAGAACAAGAGAGAGTACCTCCAGCGACTGCGGTCTCAGAGAGAAATCATCCTGGAAAACGTGACAGTCATGGCAGAAGAGAGCAAGACACAGTGTATGCAGCAAAAAGATGACATTCTTCAGAACTTTACAGCGATCGTCGAGTCTTTTGGAGCCAGTTTTGAGAGCAAATGGAAAGGCCAACTTCAGGTGAGAATCTGTTTCCTACTTCTAGTATTATTTCCCACTGTTATTGAGGAGTAGACATGTTGCAGAGAAATTGCTTTTCCAGAAATAGCAACACAATATGTATATCGCCAGTTATGTTTATTTACGTTGAAGGAGAAAAATGAAAAAGGAGTAGCAGTAGAAAGGCTACAGAAAGAGTCAGGAGCTAAGAGGAGTGGGCAAAGGAGGTGAAGGGGTTGAGGCAGAAAGAGGAGACGAAAGCAGACGGCAGAACATTGCAAGAGGACAGGAAAGGGGGCGAGAGAAGACAATTTTAGAGAAGAAAATTGTTCGGTCGCTACCCCGATTAGAAACCCGGGGCCTTTGCAAGAGAGGCAAACACCTTAAACTCTAAGCCACGAGAGCCCCCCCCCCCCGTACAACCTTACCCTCATTTAAAGAGGTATAGCGCGTAGCATTATTACCTTCCATTCCGCTGCAGAACATTGCTAAATAAATAGCAAACAGCAAAATTAATTTACAGAACGTTGTGAAGCGATACAGAAGTCATAGAATCTAAATCTGCCGGCGACTGACAAAACCTTCGGCATGTATTGTTGTTACGTGTTGAGTAATGTAATGGGGTAGAAAAAAAGTCTGCTTATATTGGTAAAAGTAATGTAAACCTACTCCCCCGCCC